TTGAATTGCTCTGCGTGGCAGCTTTCACACATGTCAGTACATTTGTAATTGCGACGGAACCTGTGCATTTCTTTTCTAGCTTTCAGGTCACCTTTCATTGAAAAGAGCATTGCCCTGTAACCATACGCAAGCACTTTACCTTTGAGCTGGGCTCGAAAAGAACTCCCATCAAACTCCTCCCCATAGAACCCTCTCTCCGGCGCTAGACCAGAAGCAGTGTGCTTCAAACTCCAGGACACAAGCTTTGCAATCTCGGCGTTGCAGAAATCCCAAGAGTCCAAGAGACTTCTCTCCGGCAGAACTGCTATGGGTATTTTGGACACAAAGACATCGGTGGGACCTCCAAAGCATCCAAAAACAGATGAGAAGCTGAACACAAAATAACTGTCGTCTCGGTAAATCTCGCAGCCATCGCCATGGATGCTCAACCCAACCAACTTCCTCAAGTTGGTCCCTGCGTCATTCAAGACAGGGTGTCGAGCCCATGGAGCGCAAAGCCTACAGTGCTTCCAGAAGTCCTCGATGCCATCAGCTGACATGTTGCCAAGTATCATCGAAGAAAACTCAGGGCAGGTTTGATCAGCTTTGCAAAAAAAAACTTGGCTTAACTTTCGCAAGCCGGAGCCTTCTCGAAACTTTTCTGCGAGATTGCGTGCAAGACCTCGTGCGGCAACAAGACGTTGATCAATACATCTTCAGGACCGACAGCGTCGTCCACCTAGATGCACAGAACCGTACCGAGTGAACTTCTTAACTGGCCAGGCCGAACTGAATCAATCACGTGAAAAAGAAAACTGCTCACCACACTACAAACAAGTCGCAGTAAGCTTGAGTGTGATGGTGTACGGTTCTAAACACACGTTGTACATGCCCCGGAGCCACCGATGGAGGTCCCGTTCTGAGTTGGAATCCCACTTGCCGTTTGCACCCAAAGAAGCAATGGCATCGATGGCAGGAGCACTAAACTTGTCTTTCTGCATTTTGCGGGCAAGTCTAGCAGCTGCATAAATGCTGGCATCGCCTCTCCCTATGTCCTCCAAAAGTTGGTACGCAGAACTGCTGTGGTCAATAAGCTCTATACGCTGGCGCTTGGGCCTTGGCAGAGCAAGCCATAGAAAACAAACTGCCAACACTCAGAGGTTGAGCTGCGAGCGGTTTAGAAGGCTTCAAGGTCAGCATCCCTGGCAGAAGTGCGCTTGGACGTTGCAGGACTGAATGCAAAAAGTATTTCATGAGCAGAACTTCGCGATCCCAGCAAATGAAAACACATTCGCAGACTTTTTCACAGTCGAGAATGGTCTCACTCTCACCTAGAACCTAGGAAGGCAGCATCTTGCCGGAACACGCTAATCCACGAAAGCTAAGCTGCAACAACCTGGACTTGACTCTAAAAAGCCGCTGCTTCAAGCGACCATCACAAACAGCTGTGCCCCAAGCAATGTTGTACATTGCCCCACAAAAGATCACGGCTCAAGCAGCCTTTGAAGTCTTCTTCTTACCTTTGGATCCCTTGGAGGCAGACCCATCACCCTTCTTCTTCTTTTGCTTGTCCGCTTTCTTGAGGCCAGAGAAGATAGCATCTGCAGACGCCCGGCCAACCATGCGGGCGACGCCCAAACACAACTTAAAAAGTTAACAGCGCACAAGGTTGAAAGGTGCAATAAGGATCCTTATTTCACCTTTCAACATCTTTCAACCTTATGCCCTCCCACCCTTGCTATATTTTCGGAAACCAAAACCATTTAAACCGTGGAACAATTAGCACTGGGATGATGTTGAACAGGACACCAGGCCTGAGCTTTCTCGTACCATGCGTGTTTGCCTTGAAGCACCGTGAAAACCTTATGGTAGAAGGTCTCATCAGTAGCCCCATCTGATGTGGCCTTCTGCAAAACGCGGTACAACTTCTCTAGCTCTGCGCCATGTTTTTTGAGACTGTTTGCAAGCTCACCGGCGTACTCGACATTGCCAAGCGCGATCGATTTCTTGCGCGCTTTGGCCGCTTCAGAGAGCACGGCTGGCATTCGCTCCAAAGCAAGCCTCAGACCACAGCGAACCCACAGCCGCGCAATGCGTTGCAATTCAGTTCAATAACACACCATAACATACCCCTTTTTGATGGGCACTAGGCTCAGCTAAACGCATGATGCAATAACACACCATAACATACCTTTTTGATCACACCTTTTTGATGGCCGCTAGGCTCACCTAAACGCATGATGCAATCTTGAAGTTGTTGACGCATAAGAACTGAGGGCTAGACTCAATCGGAGTCTTTGGAACCACCTCTTCACTTTCTCCTTTCCCTTTATTCTTGTCTTTGGGATTCTTTTTTGATTTGACCGCTTCAGAGCCCATGAGTTCCACCAACTTTTTGGCGCCTTTCTCTGAGGCAACCTCCATGGCTGGCAGGGCTCCACTGGCGAGGCAGCCTTCTTGAGTGAGGCCGGCCAGCATTTCTGGGTCGCACGAGGCATTGCCAGTGATACTCATCTCAGTAGCGGTGATGTTGTCCTGCCGAATCTTGTTGCCCACAGGCATATAGTACCAAGACTCCTGGGCCCGGGGCAGCTTTGATAAGTTCTGGAAAACAGTTCACCTATACGAGTCAAGAACTAGAAAACAGGGATTAGCTTTGCAAAGAAGAGGGTCCAGCTCGTCATCTGGGAAGTCGGTGTCTTTGTAGTACAGCCCATTGTCAACCCGAGACTGTTTGATTTGGGCCCAGCGTTCTTCACCCACATCGGCAAGAATCTGTCTACCCTTGACAGCTTGCCACTGCTTACGGTTGAGATTCTGCTGTTCCGCTCTTCGTTTCACAGCCAATTCGACATTGGGCCAGTGCCTGTTCCCATCCAACCAAAGTTCGAAGAGGTCCTGTTTCGAGGACATGTACATCAAAGCTAGGGACATGGGGAACGCCTTGGTTCCAGCAGATCGGCAGTAGGAATCCCACTCCTTCTTCATTGTCACACCTTAGAAGCAAGTGGTGGCGGGAACCATCGAACTGGGTAGGGTGGGCTTTTTCGAACCATCAAAACTAAAGGAAACCAAAAAAAACTTGTTGCCATCCAATTGTAAACCAAAGTTCTGTTTCGAACCTGGGCTGGCTTCGTCGCAGCCACAGTGTCTACCAGGTCATGATGCGGGCCCTTCTTGGTTTCTTCAGCTCCTGACTCTCCACCCTTCGATTTCTTCGATTTCTTCTTTTTATCATTCTCTGCGTCCACACCCTTGATCTTGCTTTCTTTGTCTTCTTCACCTGACTCTTCATCCTTGGAGTCTACCTTCTTGCTCTTCTTCTTGTTTTCTTCACCTGACTCTTCATCCTTGGAGTCTACCTTCTTGCTCTTCTTCTTGTTTTCTTCAGCTGGCTCTTCATCCTTGGAATCTGCC